AAGTCGGCGGATGCAGGCCGGTAAGCCGGCACAAAAGCAGTAGGAGCAGTAGTAGAAGCGGGGAGCATGCTGTCATCTCGAGCCCCACTAAACAGGGGTTGCAGCTCAGGCCGCTGCCGCCACAACGTATCCGCCACAGAAAGAACTTCATGCACTCCCGAAGCAGACAAAATGGCTCGTGATGGGCATTTCATGTAAGAAAAATCGGGAGAATCACCGCGGCGCCCTCCTATGCGCGTATCACTAGCAAGGTCCCAGTCTCGTGAGCGACGAGCAAAAGCATCATGAGCCGGCATCCCGCAGGTAATCGCCAATAAGGGCGAAGTCTAAATTCTCGTGGGTGGTGAGACCTAACAACAAGCAACGTGGTGGTCGTGAGCAAAGCGTGCCTCGGCGCACGAAAAGGGAAGAATCGCGTCCAATTCTCTCTTACCGTGCCTGCCAGACTGACGCCAAGTTAAAAGGAATGCCCGCCCGACGGTGGCTTGCCTCCTAGATGTAGTAGATGTAGATTCTGCCGTAGACACTCTTGTCCACGAGCACGTTGAGATGGGAAGGTTGCTTGTTATTGCAGAAGCGGGTCTGCTACAGGTCTGAGGTGAGGCGGATTGCCCTCAACCTGGGGGCACGCAGATAGCTAAGTCCCGATGGGGTACGTCCTAAGAGGGTATACCTCCTGACGTCCCCCATCTTAATCTAGACCGACTGTGTACCCTATCTGTGCCATACAACACTCCTTAACAAACTCCCGTGGAGCTTTTGGGCTGCCATTTCGAGGACAACTTAGCCTTGGAAGACGGGGGAACAACGTGTGAGTGCACCTGGCATTTGGTTAGAGCAAATGATGTATGCACGGGCGAGACTGCTATTTAGGTGGTATCATAAGCTTCTGGAGAACAGGATGCATCCATTTGTGACCTCAATGCAAGAAGATACATGAAAATATATATTCACTCTCTTTTCACGCGCCCAATTGAGGTCGTCGGCAGTCTAAACATGCAGAGGTCGGCACGATAGTGACTGGTCCTAACCACGCGTACGCGTTTTCGGTCTATCACGAGTGAAACGAATATCACACCTACAATTAGCGAGGGTGTGGCTGTAGGTTAGCTGGTAGGAAGTACACCACGCCTAACATGTTGGATGGTGCACTTCACAGGGGACTATAGTTTGCGACGAAGCAGGGCGATGGTACATTGGAACCCCCCCACAATAAATCAGCAAATCCCGCATGGTGTGAGTTCCACACAAAGAATCAGGGAAAATCTCAAGGGAGTTTGTGGCTTCGCTCCGCGCCATGCCCCTGGAATCGCACAAGCCATCGGCCGCGCATCTCGATTGAGCCCACAGCTGCAAAACTTTGACTCAGCTATGAAGAGGGCAGGGTCCCAACACACAGTTCGAGTTCTCTGATTGAGAGCAGGGTAGACGAAGTTCACTACTAATAGGACAATCCTACCTTGGAACCTTGGAAGTGTTCGTGAGTTTGTTTTATTCGATATATGTTTTGGACCTTTGTTGCAGTCGCGAATCTCTTCCCGCTCAAAAGTCCCCATGTTGCTCTTCGATGTCAAGTGTCAAATAATTGCTCACTCCTAGCTAGTTCAACTTTGTCCTGGATGCGTCGACCTACGTGAAGGTAACCAATTTGGCCTACGATTCGGAAGTCCGAACACCCCTCCGCTGCCCTGGTTGCGGGCATCGGCCTCACCTATATCCTGGTGCATCTCCTCTTCTCGTCATCTCGAACTTGCCATCACGGGAACCTCGCAGATAGCATCGCGGAGTACGACATCGTGAGAGACTGCACGTTCATCGGCAACAGGGCAGGTAATGTGGGAAGACTACAGCCATGTATGAGACGGAGAACGTCCAACAGAGCCCCCTCCCCCCCAGGCGGTCGAGTCAAATATGCTGTGCGGGTTCGACAACCCTTTTTCCACGGAAAGGGAATAGATGATAGCACCGCTTTGTGCCAAAAATGGCCAGGCACTCTCGAGGCAATTAGACAGTGATCGAAACTGTCCCTGGAAGTGGAAACGCCTGAAAGAATGGTGGTATTTCGCAACTAACTGACGTTCGTTGCAAGGAAGTATGGTCAAGATGCCGAACACCCTTTGCAGAATGCATCGCACCCTCCATGTGACTCGTCGAATACCTCACGGTCCTTCGCGCTTGGTGATGTGAGAGCCTGGGCCGGTTAGAACCCGGCGTGCTCGGTCCCGGTATTCCAAGGACGCGCGGTCAATGCGCAAACGACTACGGCATGCACGATTTGGAGTACATCTTCCCCCCGTGACAGTATTTGCTATCGGGGTTGGGTTTTCGTCGCTTGGCAACGACGTTGTAAAACAAGCCA